AAAGGACCAGCTTAAACCAGCAAAGGACCAGCTTAAACCAGCAAAGGACCAGCTTAAACCAGCAAAGGACCAGCATAAACCAGCAAAGGACCAGCTTAAACCAGCAAAGGACCAGCATAAACCAGCAAAGGACCAGCTTAAACCAGCAAAGGACCAGCATAAACCAGCAAAGGACCAGCTTAAACCAGCAAAGGACCAGCATAAACCAGCAAAGGACCAGCTTAAACCAGCAAAGGACCAGCATAAACCAGCAAAGGACCAGCTTAAACCAGCAAAGGACCAGCATAAACCAGCAAAGGACCAGCTTAAACCAGCAAAGGACCAGCATAAACCAGCAAAGGACCAGCTTAAACCAGCAAAGGACCAGCATAAACCAGCAAAGGACCAGCATAAACCAGCAAAGGACCAGCATAAACCAGCAAAGGACCAGTTTAAACCAGCATCCCAGCATCAAAACATACCTAACCAGCATATGCTGTTTTTTTCAGCAGGGTTTTTCGTGACTGTTTACTTGTCTTCAGTAAGCTTATTTTTACTTAGGCTAGTATTATTTTTTGTGATATTGAAATTGGTAGCAAAAATTATGAAATTTCAGTGCATCAAGAATTTTGATATGGTATAAAAATCCTGTTTAAAGCTATATATATATATACTGTATATATATAGGGTATAACGGGGCTAAAGGCGCCCCGGGGTAAAAGGCACCTTTGATATTATTTTCATCTAAACCACTAGACGGCACAAAACCGTGGCGTAGCACTTTCCAAAACATCAGCTTTTCAAGATGCACCTGTATATTTGTCTGATCTTTGACGCGCGTGCGCAGCAGTGCAAAGTTGATTCTGTGCCTACTTGATCTGAAATGTTGTAGATTTAAGTAGCAAATGAGAATCAATAATAAAATTAATGCATATATTGTGATACTCTATATTGTGAGTTCAATACTATGTATATATCTTTTCTGTAATTATACATTTTAGGCGCAGTGAATGGCACATTTTTTCTTAAGGTGGGCCTTTAGCCCCGTTGTACCCTATATATATATATATATATATCATTATTGTGATGGGGGGCCCTGCAGTAAGTCATAGCCCCGGGGCCCAGTGCGGTCTAAATGCGGTCCTGGTTATAATAGACCTGCATGTTGTTTAAATAGCAGCGGGTTTTGAAGCAACACTAATGTCTACGGCGGAGACAGTTCCACAAAAACAAAACATGTTATATAGGTGATGCTTATTGAAAATACAGCGGTTACCCCTGTGCACAGAATAAAAAAACACCACTTTTAGGCTTAATACAGGGGTAGGATGGAAAGAAAATGCCATCAAAGACTTGTGTGAAGACGGTTTGTTCTTCTTTGAATCGTTTGCACGAATCATATGAATGGAGTATTTCAATGTAAGAACGATGAATTTCACCCAGAGGTGACAAGTTTGCATGTATGATGTCACAACAGAGAAGAAACATCACTCGCAATTTCCGTTTCATGTGGATTGTAGAGACGCAGTAGCAGTGAAAGTGCACTGCGCTAGAGGTGTGGAAGTGTTGCCTCATACGCAAAAATACATGATGAACTATAGCTGTGCAATTACCACTGATAATCAGAATGGATATTTCTTCACTTAATGCTCCAAACCTGTATGAACTTTTAACTTTTACAAATATCTTTCATAAAAGAAGACCTTTTGAAGGACATGGATAACCAAACCAATGAGGACAATAGAAGCAATCAAAACCAACAAAAGAGCAATGATATGCAATAATATGTGACCCTGGCGCACAAAAGCAGTGTTGAGTCGCTGGGGGATATTTGTAGCAATAGCCAACAATACATTGTATGGGTCACAATTATACATTTCTCTTTTATGCCAAAAATCATTAGGATATTAAGTAAAGATCATGTTCCATGAAGATAGTTAGTGAATCTCCTACTGTAAATATATCAAAACTTAATGTTTGATTAGTAATATGCATTGCTAAGAACTTCATTTGAACAACTTTAAAGATGATTTTCTCAATATTTAGATTTTTTTGCACCCTCAGATTCCAGATTTTCAGATATTGTCCGATCCTAACAAACCATACATCAATGGAAAGCTTATTTATGCAGCTTTCAGATCATGCATAAATCTCAATTTAAAAAAACTGACCCTTATGACTGGTTTTGTGCTCCAGGGTCACATGTTTATTTTTTCAATGGAAGTCAATGGAGACCAACATTCAAAATATCTTCTTTTGTGTTCAGCTGAAGAAAGAAACTCATACAGGTTTGGAAGAACACGAGTAAATGATGACAGCATTTTCATCCGGGCTGAACTATCCCTGTAATACATGGGTTTGATCTGTATATACGAGAGACCATATGTTATGCATGCACTAGCATTTATTATAACAACATGGATACAACTATGTGTGTTATATGGTACTAAAATATGATGCAGTATCACACAATCACAATATAAAAGCCTGAAATAAAAACCCTAAGTCTGTCCTAATCTGTGTGGGTTCCACCCTACACTTTGTGCTGCTTTTACTGCATGCTTTAGAAGAAAGAGGAGAAGAAATGGTTGCACAAGACGATCCACAGCGGGACGGTTGCAGACCCACCCTGACCTGAATCAAACACACGTGTGTGTCACACATCTCGCAGGATGTCTGGGCTCACGACACACTTCTTTAAAGATCCAATGTTTCTGTGAAGCACGCTCTGACCTTCATGAGGAAGTGAGCTCCACCCAAAGACTGTGTCAAAGACCAAAACCACACTCGTAGGTTTCATTAGCAAGCTATTTATCGCCCCAGAGCTGAGAGCTGAGAGCTGGCAGAGCAGAAGACTGATCCGGACCAGAACCACTGCACTTCTGCACGCTCCCGAGCTACAGAACCATCATGTGACACAAAATCACTGCAATAAAAATACACTCCAAGTTTGAATTCTGAAAAAATAAATAAACAAGACGAGCAATGATCAGCACAAACCTTGTAAACCTGTCCATATGTCCCATTGCCGACCACCTCGATGAGCTCGAAGATCCCGGCGGGATCCTGAAATCAAGAGAAACACTGAGCTTCAGGGGCCCCTGACACTGGCATCTCACTAGAGACTAATCAAGCTTGGCACATCTCAGGACTGTACATCTGTTCATCATTTCATCTGTTAATAGCACATTCACAATTCTGTCTGTTCACATTTTCTTTTGCTCTGTATTTTGTTTCAATATTGTTATTTATGGTCTATTCTCTTTATCCACATGAAAAAATACTACAGTAATTTACAGTAAATACTAGTGTTACAGTACCATACTATAGTAAAGTGTATTATACTGTATATATTATAGTATTTACAACACTTTGTTAATGAATGCTACTGTAGTATTAACTATAGTGAACTGATAAACTGTAATAAATACTAGTGGTCGACCGATATATCGGCCGATATTTGGCATTTTTTAAATACCGGCATCGCCCGATAAGTTTCCCTGTTTGGCCGATGCGTTCGAGGCGGGACTTTTATTTTGACAGCGCTGACATTCTCCGTCTTGTTCGCTGTCGTCGTTAACAGTTCTGTCTAATAATAATCAGATAGAACGGTTAAACAAAGGAATTAAAATGTATACAAAAATTCTTATAACGATTGCTTTTATATTATTAGCAATAGAAAGGCAAACATTATAATACTTTCTCGTTTGCCGTCAGCATTCAGCAAATACACATTTATATAATTTATACAAATCTTTGAATGTCTAATAAACATCTAATTTCACAAACCTTGCCGACTTTATTTGAAAAAATATGATGAATGCTCACAAACTTCCCAGAATACCGAGTGCCCTGTTGGTTACAGCGTTTACTTCATTTTTAATTATATTATTTATTAAATATTTATTTATTTGTGAAAAAAAAAACCTTTGTCATCTAAAGTACAACTATGTTTATTTAACACATTTATTTTTTCATCCATTTTCAAATTATTTTAAAATTTCTTAAATATGAATTAAAATAAATACAATTATATCGGCCACCCTGCTTTCCAAGATATCGGCATCGGCTGCCAGAAAACCCACATCGGTCGAGCACTAATAAATACTGTAGTATACTCTGTTCCCTAGTAGGGCTGGACAATAATTCAATATCAATATGTATCGCGATATAATGTTTTTCAATAACGGTGATATGATTTTTAAACACATTTCCGATATTTCGATATACATTACCAGTGTTTCCCATACTCTGATGTATTTGTGGCGTTTGACTTCGTTGAATAAACATGAGCACGGTTTTATATGAATGTGTCTCTGAAGGGAACCGACTGTCTTCAGAATAGTTTAGATGGCATGTTTATCTGATAAAGTAGCGTTCATGAGCGGAGCTGCTGTGTTTACAGCCGTTACTGGAGAAACCGCTAGTTCTGCCGCTCTCACAGCGCCTCCTGCTGGCAGACAATCAGTTCTGCCGTTCTCACAGCGCCTCCTGCTGGCAGACAATCAGTTTGCATTTTCAAGAATAAACCCATTTCCAGCAACATGCTTTTGTTGTTGCTCTATTTTTTTGTTTTCTGAAGCAACTCGGAGCATGTTTCATAATCGTTTACCTGGTTAATGCGCGTTTCAATCTATAAGAATAATCAGCCTACACTACCAGTCAA